TCATAACCTTATAGTTGGTGCTTCAAATGCTTGGATAGTGTGAATCAGGGATTGAAGTGACTGGGTCATCCTGGACTGTTTAACCAGGCTACGTTATTTAGGTTTTTCCTCGAGGTATATTCGTGCTTAAATAATTATTCCTTGATATGTGCCTAGAGGGAAGCTTTAATTCCAGTCGAAATTTCAGTTGAGTGATGAGCAAGAAGCAGCTGATGCTGACGATTTTGTTGATGCTGATGAAGATGATGATGGAAATGGTGAATTTTTTGTTTTGGATACGAACAGGGCTGAAATCATTGAGGAAGAGGAAATCACCATAGTAGGTTGCAAAGGCTCAGAGCAAATTCAGCTTTCAAAGGCAAAACGAAGCGAGGAAACGTTCGATCTTACGAAAATTCTTACCAATGATCCTACAACTGCGTCGCTTTCAGTGGAAAAGAAAGAAAAGTATCGTTTTTTCTTGTTTAAGTGAACTTATAAATTTATCGTATTTTTCTTTAGTTTTTACAGTAAGTGCTATAAGGGTTCGAATGGATTTACTGTTGTAAGCCCCAAACAATTTATGCGAAAAGACAGTGAAGTAAGTTGCGGGTTTGGAACAATGCCAAGTGATAAATGTAGCCTGTCACAAGTTTATATAAGAGATCCATTTGTGGGATATAACTACCTCTACATTTCATTGATTTGTTCCAATGGAAATTGGTTTAGCGCATCATCGGTTCACTTCCCTGAAGCTTTCCGAGCAATTTTTCAAGAAGAGAACTGTCAGGAGCTTTGCCATCGGATAGCTAATTTATGCTGCTTCTGCCTTTCGGGCCATTTCTTGAACACAAATTACGATGGCATTTTTGCTTTGATTGTTGCACTGGTAATCCCCTGTTGATCTTTGGTACAGAGTATCACTCGATTGTACCTCTGGCAGCAATAACAAAGGGAACTATCCAGGCTTCTTGCGCCAAAAAAAAATCCGAGAGTTGGGTGGTAGTCAAGGTTAACCTTCTCCCTTCTTTTCCGCACCCACTCCCGGCCGCCCGCTTGTTTTCATTTTCTATGAGAATGGAACATTTAAAGGTACCG